ACATTACTGTGTATCAGTTACTGAAATGAGTAAGGATTTTATTGTATGAATTTTCTGAATTGAATGGTTGCCAACTGGGGTTTCATTAGTGTCAAATGCATATGGGCGCATAAATCATCTCAGCCTCAAATGCAAGTACTAACGTGTTACCTTGCGTCTCTAGGTCCTTTTCACCCAACAAGATCCATTTGCCTCGTTTCAAGCCGGAAAGCTGCAATCATTTGTGATGAACAACTGCGTCGGACCACGACGATACCTCCGCTACGTTCGTGTCTTTGCAGTTCTTGCTCGAGCTCCTCAGCTGGCTCGATTGGAGCTTGTTGGCACAAGGTTTATCGGTGAGTTCGTCAAACTCATTGCAATTCTCAGTCCCATTCTTCGAGGTCTGCTCAACTTTATTTGGTCTTTAGAAGGTCTTCTAGAGCAGATCGTGGATCGTCATGAGCCTCCAATCCTCTGTTTCCGAAATCTTCAACGGCTGGTGCTGGCAGGTAACAGGGACTCGACGGCGGTGGATGCAGGCTTACTGCTTCTCGCCGGCCAGCAGAGTCTCGTCCACGCTGCTTTGCAAATTTGGCACACGAAGAACGCCCTATTTGAAGCCCTTTCTTACGCTAGAGTTCGGCTCTCGCGATTGGAAAGCCTTATTCTGGGTTGGTTTCATGTGTATAAATTTTTTTTCCAGACTCAAATTTTTGATAGCATTTCATCCCTCATTTGCATCTTACTGCCTTTGTATGATAGTTTAAATGTCATAAGCTTCTGAAAGTAAACCTCTCCTTTGGCTCCTTTAACGTTGTATGGAAAAGCCACCCTGACGTTGTGAATTTCCTTTCATTGATGTGAAGGTTACGCTTTGGTAGTCACTTAACGACTCATTCATAGCTTCCGCTCCTAGTTTCAGTCTTCCGAATTTGCTTCAGACTCTCATTACTTCCGGAACATTTTAATCACTGGAGGCTAACATTCAGGAGCCCACGCTACTGTGTTCAGCAGAAAATTATGCTACTTAAGGAATTCCGAACTACTAACTCAATAGTAACGTTTCATTTTTGTGCAGTAACTGATCTCATGTCTCCTACCTTTACGATCTAAGCGCACATAAGTCTACGATCTTAGATTCAAAATGCATTCTCGAAGATTGCTGCAGTTCCAGCTTTTTTTAAATCGTCTGTCCTTGGGGA